AAGATTCGTTATAGAAAGGAACTCATATTTTGGACAATAACAACAGTCACGGGATTTAGTTCCAGAAACAGGGTGACAATATGCTACACCAATGGATGTGAATGGCCTTGATGGTGAGGTACATCGAAGCGTACTCTGTTTTTCGTCACTCACTTAACCTCCATATCTGATCACGCGTAGCTTGGCAGATTTTGATGTTCACTACGACGTTACGAACCTCACTCTATCCTTGGCTGATCACATACCTATATCACCACTTAACAGTAAGCGAGTGTAGAAAAGGGATCACAATTCGCGACTAATTGAATAAATTGTAGGTAAATGTCGAACACACAGAGAAGAATCAGGAATCCAATATCGCTTTAAGCACCACATCAGGTACGCTTCATTACGATGAGCAGAGTGCAATACGAACGGCACAAACGAGGTTCAATGAGTTTGGTAAAATTCGCTGATGCTGCCTCGCGATCCGAAAGGAATGGCTGGTTGTGAAAATGTGAATGAGTCAGCTATTCCTCTTTTGTTTCTGTGATGGTCAATTTCTGCCTAAAACTGTTTGACGAAGAGGTCACACGTTAGCTTTTTTTACAAGTAGTCGCAGATAACTCATTAATTACCTTGTTTAAAATACTTCAGCAGCAAATGTCTGTGACGACAGCTGTGCAGCAAATTCGAGTAAAAATGATCTTGTTGATGGTTGTCAGACTAATGAAGGTAAATCGTTTAACGCCATGCCGCCATCACCATCTTATCGTTGCTGCCTATGGGCCACCCAAGATCTTGCCACGTGGTCAGAACTGGCCGTTGCACTTGAAGATCATAAATATACGCACCGCGGGCCTTCGTTGGATTGATATCTTTGCAACGATTTGGGCTCGCAATAACCTTTAAGATGGGCTTCCGGTTTACAATGCGTCATCCGTTGAAAATCATGCTCCTCAATGACAAGTGTAACATTCCTTAATGTCTCAAATGAGGAATTCCAGCAAACTAGGCGTTGAAAATGGGCTATCTATAAATCATACATGTGCCAATAATC